AGAAGGGCGCACGGGAAGAGAGAAATAAGAAAAGGGGATTGCTGTTTGAGAGGGCACCCCGGATGAACGATGACCAAAGAGGGGGGTAAAGTGAAGGTGAGAGGAGACCAGGGTATATGTATGCTCGAAGACCGTGAGCGCTGTAAAGATAAGACAGGTAGACGGCAACTAATACAGCTGCAATCGTCATTTATGGATTCTCAGTAAGCAAGGACGAGATTCGCAATCTAGCTGTCCAGCGAATGCATACTCGCCACCTCCCACCCACCTATTCACCTCACCTCACGAAATGCGCATCGCAGGTATCGTCCGAGGCGACGACCACGACGGTCATGAATGTCTTGAATATACATGATATTCACAATATATTCGAATATACTAGCATATTAATGCCAATCAATGCCCCCCGCAGCCTATCTCTTGTTCATGCAGGTGTCCCCAATCTTTGGCACAGGAACCAGGGCGTGGCTTCTCTGTCGGCCATCTCCATCCAGTCGAACAACAGAACCCACGTTTGAACAGATCCAGATTCAGTTCTGGATTGATGGCTACCGTCGGCATCAAGCCGCGCATTCCCTTTCTGGTCAACACCAGGTATCCAAAACACAGGAAACGATACGAGAAAGGAGTGGTGGAAATGCTTTCACGACGAGAATGCTAGCCGTCTGCTTATTCGTGTATTGCCAATCTTAACACGCTATTCAGTCGTGTGGGGAGCAGTGTCGCACATTCGTCCCTGCACATCCTGCAAGGCAAGTCTCATTAGCTGGCTATGGCCCATGCTGATGCCATGAGCATACTACGAGCTATCCACCACCATGGATTCACACAGGGCTCGTTCAGATGACCTAGGGCTACCACCTCCATGCCAATCCCCCCACACCCACTTGTACCCCAGACACTCGTTGACAATCCCTCCCACTTACGTACAAGCCCAGACTCTGATATCATTACCACATCCCATCCTTATTGTTATGAGCTACCACTTTTATTTCACCGTCTCG